GGGTTCCGGGGGCTATCAGGGGGACAGGGAACGGGGGATGGGGTTGGATGGGGCAGGAGGCCTAGGGGGCCATCAGGGGGCAAGAAGCAGGAGGGGCCAGACCACGCCATGCCCGGCTGTTTGGGGAGGCACAGCCTCTCCTAACCGGCCCTCCATACAATTTTGGAAACCCGATGTGGCCCTCAGTCCAAAAAGTTTGCCCGCCCTGGTGTAGAGCATGCTAGACATAAGGGAAAGGATCTAGTCTAATACAAGGAAATTCTTCTTTAGCCCCCTGGGGTGGAAGTGGAGAGGGCAGTAAGAGTATGGATTTAGTGCTATGAATCCACTCAGCGACTGTGACCATAAAACCCAGGAACATCCCTGTTTTCAGCAACTGCCCTGGTGTCTCTCTCAGTTTTATAACAAACAATATTTTGTCCCAGTTTTATAAACCCTGCAGTTTCTCACCACCCTGGTCAGAGGAGCTAGGGAAACCAACAGCAGGCTGGCTAAGTGCACATGCATCTCAAGCACCATCGCCTGTAAGACATGTCATAGGCTGGCACCTTGTTCCCCCTCCCCCCCACAGATCCCTCCTCTTGGAGCCTGCACAGTCACATCCAACCAGTGAGAGGGAGGGGGCAGTTTGACACAGAACAGAGGGCAGGGCACCCTTTCCTCATCCCAGGTGCCATCCCCTCTCAGACGGTCTATGAAACCCTCCCCCGCAGTCCTGCCCCCGTGACAGGTGACCTAATTTATCCACTTTGAGAATCTGCTCAGCCTACTCCTGGGTGGCTACTTCCCCGCTCCCATAGCAAAAAGATAATATTCACCTAGGCCGCTGTAAACCACTTAACCCCCGCCGTGCCTCAGTTTCCCCAATCTGTAAAACGGTGGCATGCTCCCCACCCACTTTTTTCCATGCACACTGAGCGCTGCAGATGAAAAGCGCCGCAGCAGCACAACGTGGTATAACACTAACTCCTGATGTTACCATTTGTTATTCTTGCTCAGCGTCTGCCCAAAACCACCAGCCTGGATTGCTGCCCCCCGCCAGGACTGGAGGTTTAACACACACACTCCTTTGCTCGGGCCTGCTGAATCCCGTGTGGCCTTCACTCCGCTGGAAATGCAGGTGCGTCACGGGCATCGGCGCTGCACGGCCCGAGTAGGGCTAGCCCCAGATAGCCCC